CCTGTATAGGGTTCCTAAGGAGGGGCTGTTGTGTTTGAACTGGTTCAAACCAACCTTACATTCCAGCGCATTATCCTGCAGCACCATAATATATCTTCTTGTTGTTGTTAAGTATTGTCGAGTCAGTTTTGACCCATAGCAATCCTGTATAGGGTTTCTGAGGAGTGATTGATGAACTTGAACCATTGACTTTGCAATTCAAACCACCTTTGCAATCCAGCACATTAACCCACAGTGCCACACCAGGAACACGTATCTAAGCCCCAATAATTTTCTCTCCTAACTTTCTTCAACAACTGATTGGGTACTCTGTAATTGCTCTCTTACAGTTTTACCATTCTATTCAACTGTAAAGCCCTTAAAAGGAGAGATGACATTTTATGCTTCTTTAAATTTTCCTCCTGTTAGGCCCAGAACAGTGATATATAAAGGGCAGCGTGCTCAGTAATTATTCGATTAAGAAATATGTAAGGAAAAGAAAATTTCAGTGAAAAGTAGAAATGGCAAATAAATCAGAAAAAAACATCAACTTCTGCACAGAGAAAAATTCTGGAGGTAAGTTCACTTGTTATCCTATCTGCTTTCTAATTCCCTAGCTTCTCACTGCTTCCCTCTACCTGCTTCATCCTATTATGTTAGGAAAGGTATCAGCATCTGGATGTGGGTGTGCTCTTAGGATCTTAGCAAGAATCCACCTTTCTCTGCTGTTTTCAGTGTGCCTACCTTTCATATTTGGGCATGAGTCTGTGTGTACATGTATATAAAATCAGTGGCACCAGCATTTCTGAGATGTGAATTCCATCCTCTTTTATCTCCTTCATAGTGTCTTCTTGCTTATCTTGAAAACTCACCATTGGATATGGCTTTCCTTCAGGAAGTGTGACTCAGTTTATCAGTGAGCTATGAAACAATGGAAGCTTGTCAGACTTTTCTGAAGCTGACTAGGCAGTACTGCAAAATAATTTCATTCTTTTTGCCCCAATAACCCACTCATAGAACATTTATCCAAGAAATACATTTCAACAAAAAGAAAACATTGTATTATAAAGTGGTTGTGATAGTGTTACTGATAATGATTGAAACTTGGAGAATTACAGAAATGTAACACTGGCCGAATAGTAGGTAAATAATAATGAACCAAAGTGGTGGTGATGATTAAAGGCCAATACAGAAAATTATTTAGGAAAAATTAAGTAGAAGTAGATTGTAAAACTATCTGCTATGTTTGTTTGTAACTATATAACAACAGACAAGTTGTTGTGTTGTTAAGTGCCATCAAGTTGATTCCAACCCATAGTGTCCCTTTATAGGGTTTCCCAGGAGCAGTTGGTGAGCTTGAACTATCGACGTTGCAGTTCAAACAACTTTACAGTGTGACGCCATTAGCCCACAGCACTAGGAATATGATAAAAATGAGTTGCATGGTACCATCACAGAGTTATCTTTCAGTCTTCTTTTGCAACCCAATCCCCTCTAGATTTGATGTCTGCTAGGGTTATGTATATTTTCAGTTACATATCAAACCAGTTGAGTTATTTCTTCTTATCCTTGGCATTTTTTTCTTGTATCAGCACCTCTTGGTTTTGCTGTCCCCTACTTTGACCTTTTTTCTATTTCTAGGTACTTTCCTGTTATCATTAAGTGCTGTTGAGTCAGTTCCATGAAGTCAGTTCCAAATCATAAGGACTCTGTATAGAGTTTCCAGGGAGCAGCTGGTGGGTTTGAACAACCAACCTTGCAATTAGCAGTCCAGTGCTTATCCTACAGCGCCACACCAGGACTTTACTAGAATACATGTGAGGTCCTATCAAAGTCTCCTTTGCAATGCTTTAACTACCCTCCTTCATAGTTTAACTTCTCAGATTCATTTAAGAGACTCAGAGGGAGAGCTAACTGGGTACATAAAGCTGAATCCAACTGCAGTCTACTTGTGGAGTAGACTATCATGTGATGAGGCTCCAGTACTGGAAGAATTAGGTCACTTCTTACTTCAAGGTATGACTTAATGGCAAGGACCTAGTACCTAGATTTATAGAACAAAATGAAATCTTAGGTGTACTCTGAGAGCTACTAAACTAAGTTGCTTTCAGATCACTTTTTTTTTTTTATGTTTTATTGTGAGTTATATGATAGTTTACATGAGAGAACCTCAGTTCCATATTCATTCCATCATATATCATTACATTGCCATGGTTCCAGTCCCCTCTATGCATCGTCTTCCTACCAAAGGGCATATCCTAGAAGCCCGTGCTCTACACTCCCCACTCCCCCCTCAGACTTCGACCCACAGTTCCTCTCCCTCTCTGGATCCAAAGTCCCTAGCAACTTCATCCCTCCATGTCATCATCTCTGTCTCCATCTCAGGCATCCCTGGTTCTCTGGGTGAGGTCCTGTTCTCAGCTCTTATCTGTTGGTGGTCCCAGAGACCTCTGCTCCTAGACTGGAGAAATAATCGCTCTCTTCCTTGCTACAAAACATCTACCCTTGCATTTCCAACACTCACAATCCGTCTTGATAACCATTATTCACTACAGTATCGCACGTAGCCCATCTGTATTTCATTTCATCAGCTCCACCTAGACAAATTGGATAGTACTCACTGGTGATTCTGCCTTCCTCCATGCCCCCTAGCTCTAGGTTCCCTCTTGAAAGCTTGTAAGCTAGTTACTTCTTGCCTTTGTAGTTCCTCCCTCCCCATTTGGGTATCCATTGTCCAAGTTGCCCCTCTTTGTCTACTCTGTGTGTGGAGGGGGTGGGAATGTTTCTTGCTGTAAGGATTTGTTGCCTCTTTTGTGTCACTGCATTCATATGCATAGGTTAAGTTCATCAGCTTGGATCAGCTCAGTCTTCTTTCCCCCACCCCCCCAACCCCCCCTTCTTTCTTCTCCTGGTTGAGCTCTGATCATCCAGTCATCCAGTCCCGGTCACGTGGGTGTCATCTGCAAGTGTGGGTGTTCTTGTGCACATGCCCTCTCTTCCCATCAGCCGGCAGCTCCATTCTCCACTTGAGTCCTCGGTGGCCATGTCACTGACTCTGGACCCAGGAGTCCTCGGGTCTCCTCGCACTGCTTGCCAACCAGGTCCCCAACTGAGTCCACAGAAGCCCTCTGAATATTGTGAGGCTTAGCTCGCCGCTTCATTGCTGCTTTTACCCCATTTCTCCTCAACGGTGATGCGTATGTTTACCAATCCGAGCGTGCATTTCCACCGAGTCTCAGTTTTGGGTGGGGGGGGCGCCTATGTTGGTGGGACCTGACCGACTGCCCCAGTGTCTCCTAGTGGAGCCACCTGTTTGTTCCCCTAGTAGCAATCCATCTGTCTCCATTGTGTCGTATTTTTCCTGTAGGTCTTCCATTCGAGACTTATCTTTAGTTTTTCTCACCGTTCCAGGCTTGTCAGCTCTTCCCTTCAAGTGGGGATTTCTCATCTCTGGTGATCTGGATGTGGTTCTGGTTTCTACCTATAGTTTTATGTATTGCAGAGGCTCCGCAGAAAGCCTCGTTCACCGGGTACACTGTAGCCCCGTTTTAGGTATTCCAATCAGTTAAAGGCAGAAGATGGACTTACAAGCCCTCTATTGTGATGTTTCTGACTATTCCTTTCTCTCCCCCTCCAGTGTCTACTCTATATTATAATGCAAGGGAAACCAAGATTCAAAAAAACAGTCAAGCATCTTAACACGATTCCCTGCCCATTCCGACCATGAGTCAATCCCTGTATCTCAGAGCCCTGGAGCTCCAAGGCTGTGCACACATCGTCCTTTATCTGTCCTGCTTGGTCTGTCTAAACATGCCCTATTGTTCTCCCATCTGCCCCTTTTCTCCACTTCCCTCTCCCTCCCTGTATATTACCCCCCTCCCCATCACCCAAGCTCTCCTGAGCCCAATCCCCGCCCTGTGCTCCATCTTCTGCCCTTCCCCCACCCACCACCTATTTCCCAGCAACCAACAAAAACTTCCCCCTCCCCCCTTTAGTATAATTTCTTTTTCTTAGCCTTTTACAGTAGTGGTCCCATGCAGTATTTCTGTTTTTGTGACTGACTAATTTCAGTCAGCATAATGTCCTCAAGGTTCATCCATATTATGCGGTGGCCTGCCGCTTCCTTGATATTCTTCAGTGTAGCATAATATTCCATTATGTGTATGTACCACAATTTTTTTATCCATTCTTCAGTTAATGGGCACTTTGGCTGTTTCCGTCTTTTTGCTATTGTAAATAATGCTGCTATAAACATTGGTGTGCATATATCTTCTCGTGTTGTGGCTCATTTTTCTTGTGGGTAAATATCGAGTAGAGGAATTGCTGGATCATAACGTATTTCTATTTTCAACCTTCTGAGGAAGTGCCATATTGCTTTCCAGAGAGGATGGACCATTTTGCAGTCCCACCAGCAATGCAGGAGTGTCCCAGTCTCTCCACATCCCCACCAGCATTTATTGTCTTCTACATTTTTCATCTTTGCTGTTATTGCTGGTGTGAGATTCAGATCACTTTTGCTTGAGTGCAGATTATAGATGAGCCTCCCATTATTAGTTAGTTGCCTCCAGTTCTAGAAGAGGATGAGATGTGAGGAAACCAGATTTTATACTATACGTGCTGCTGATTCTGATGCTGGACCTGTTGTGCTCGCTTTAGCTGCCAGCTTTTTATAAGCCTTTTGTTAGACCTTCCTGTCTCTATCTAGATTCATTTCTCTCATCTTCTCTGATTAGCTCTGTCTTTGAACATTCACCCTTCAATGTGAGACCATGTGGTCTACCACTTTTGTTGACCTTGGAAAATTCTCATTTCTCTTTTACAGAGAATAGGTGACATGTGCATTTTCTGTTTCTCATACCAGATGGTGAAACTGGGACTGAGGAGATGTTGATTCCAAAGCATCATTCCTGAAAAATCATAATCCCATCGTACTTTCAAGAGGACTCCACACAGGTGTTTCTAATGAATTAAATGTTTAAAAAACTTCTCAAAGGAAAAAGAAGACTAATAGACCACTGGGGTGCTCCAAGCAGGAGAAAATGAAGAGAAAGACAAGAAACTCCAAACAAAAGATGTCTAAGGACAATAAAACACTCACAGAAGTGAATGACCAGAAATCTGAAAAATATGATAGCTTCAACCCTGGAAGAAACAAGACAATTCAGACTGAAAAGAAACATTATGTATGTAATGAGTGTGGGAAAGCTTTTAGTCAGAGTGCAAACCTTACAGTACATGAGAGAATCCACACAGGAGAGAAGCCCTATAAGTGTAAGGAGTGTGGCAAAGCCTTCAGTCATAGCTCAAACCTTGTGGTTCATCAGAGAATCCATACTGGACTGAAGCCTTACTCTTGCAGTGAATGCGGGAAATTTTTCACTGGTAAGTCACACCTCATTCGACACCAAGAAATCCACAGTGGGGAGAAAACTTATGAATGTAAGGAGTGTGGGAAAACTTTTAGTCAGAGTTCAGGTCTTATTTCTCATCACAGAGTTCACACTGGAGAGAAACCCTACACATGTATCGATTGTGGGAAAGCCTTTAGGCGTAGTTCAAATCTTACACAACACCAGAGAATGCACAAAGGAAAAAAATTGTACAAATGTATAGAGTGTGGGAAAACATGTTGTTCTAATACAAAGATTATGGACCATCAGAGAATTCACACTGGAGAGAAGCCTTATGAGTGTGATGAGTGTGGAAAGGCTTTCACATTGAGGAAGACCCTTAATGAACACCAGAGACTTCATCGTAGAGATAAACCTTACAAGTGTAACGAATGTGAGAAAGCTTTTACATCTAACCGGAACCTTATTGATCATCAGAGAGTTCACACTGGAGAGAAACCCTATAAATGTAATGAATGTGGGAAAACCTTCAGGCAGACTTCTCAAGTTATTCTACATTTAAGAACCCACACAAAGGAGAAACCATATAAGTGTACTGAATGTGGGAAAGCCTATCGGTATAGCTCACAGCTTATTCAGCACCAGAGAAAACATACCGAGAAAGAAGTCTCATGAATAATTCATGTTATTGGTAGTAGGGTGAATTGCTACTTTTCTAAAAAGCAATTTGTCATCAACCTTAATTCTACTTCTAAGAATTCATACAGGAAAGGTAACCAGAGTAGACAAAGATCAACAAAAGGGATATTCAATTCTTAGATCCCTCTAAGACAGAGTAGAATAGTCCCATAGTACTTCCAAGGGTGTAAATCTTTACAGAAGAAGACAGCTGCATCTTCCTTTTCTGGAGCAGCTGATGGGTTGGAACTGCTGATCTTTTGGTTAGCAGCCAGGTGCTTAACCACTGTGCAATTACAGCTCCATATCATGCCAGTATCATAAATGAGGGGCCTTCAAAGAGTTTGTGGGAAAAGATACCATTATCTTTTCATCCCATTTTTTTCATTAACTTTTTGGAGCCTTTTCATATAGTTGTAAGAAAAAGAACTAGATTTTCAACAATATAATGTTTAAATGAATATGATCCATCCCATATGACTGGTTTTGTAATCACTATAAATATTTTTAAAGACTATTTGGGTTCTTTGGAGAAATTCGGATTAAAAGGAAGATATAAGAAAGAAAAATGAAATGTGAACACATTAAAAATATTCATATATACACAGACAAGGGTGAATCAAAAGTTATCTACACTCTGGCTGTAGGTTGATGTTTCAAACTCACCATCCACTCCTTGGAAACCCTATATAGGGTTGCTATGAGTCAGAATCAGCTTGATGGCACTTAATAATAACAACAAAAGAACAGCAAATATTTCCTGCATCCTTCTCACAGTGTTAGAAAAATCTGTAGGTACAGGAGAGCCCTTAGGCCCCTGAACATTGTGCCCTTATGGAGTTAAAACAACTGCAGGTTCAAAACCATTAAAGAACTATAGAAGAGCTTGTCTTCACATGTGATGTTTAGCTTAGTGGCTAAAAGCACAGACTTTGGTGTCAGAGAGTTCTGTGTTAAAATCCTAGGTGTGCTACTTACTAGCTTTTCAATTTTGGTAAAGTCACTTACCTGCTCTGAACCTCAGACTTACCTGAAAAAACTACCTATCTTAAAGGGTTATTATGAAAATTAAATGAGATAATACATGTAACATGACAAACCTGACACATGTTAAGTAATAATAAATATAGACTATCAGAGCAGTGTTTCTAAGCACAGGGAGTGAATAAAGGTAAATTTTATGGTACCATTTAGTGTATTTTCAGGTGTAAAGAGCAGAAAACCAAGTGATAGTAACTTAATCTTAAGAACAATAATTGGTTATTTATGGAGAAGTCTAGGGATAAGCAATTCCAAATTTAGTTTGGCAGTTCAGAAGTTCATCAAACTTCCATCTTTATAACCATCAGCATATTGGAACTTCGTGTTTTCAAAATGGTGGCCACTTGAATTGCAAATCTCTTTCTCACACAATCCCTTCAGTATCACGAAGTGAAGGAAAGGAGCTGGGACTTTCTCCTCTGGTTTCTTTCTCCTTCTATTATTGAGAAAAATTCTTCCAAAATGAAAGAAAAGTTGCTGAACAGTCAATGCTACTATCATAGTGAAACACTAGTCTTTACACTTAGTTAAAATTTTTATCATAATGTAGAATGATTCATGAGTCAGGAAATACACTAGCACTTGGGCCTGGTACTATAGTGTTCTAAACTGCAAGAAGAGATTGAGGTTTTTGTAGGAAGGAATCAGAAGTTTGTGTGCTCACAGACATGCGGTGGTACATGGCAAGAAAAGTTCTAAGGGTGTTGTTAAACTACAACCTTGCTTAACATTATCATTTCTATTTTCTAACCTCCTGGAACATATTGACCAGGGCATTCTTGAATCAAGTCGTGGAAACAATCTTAACAGATACTTTTAAACAAAAAGGTCTTACTTATAATCTAAAATATTGACACTTGATCCTTTTGGGTTACAATTACTTAAACTTTTACAAGAAGCTATATTATCTTTTTAGAGCAGCAAACGCATAGATTTTAGGCCAAGCTTGATTTTTATTGAAAATGTAATGTAATTTAGATGTGGGACAGCCATTTATTTTTGTAATGTCAACTGCCTCAGTTTTAGGGTTTGCTTACACATTCTCCCCTTCTCATCGAGCTACCACTAGTGGGTGCAGATTACCCACAGAGTTACCCATCTTCTGCAAGAGGTTACTAGGCTCATTCCAGTGTTGTTACAGCTTCAGGCCTCATCTTCAGGGTGAGTTGGTTCTTATTGGGAGAGATATTGTAAGCAGGGTCACATTTGAGTAGTAACATGGCATTCAGAATGTCTGATTGTGAACTAAACTTCATTCTCCTTAGCAAAATTAGTTTATTCTAAATGCATGATCCATCATATGGCTAGATGTCTTGAGAACTGGTTTTGACAGTTGGAAATGCCATGCATAATACATTTAACAATACCCATGCTAACTATTACAGTGATTAAAAGAAGTAAACAGGCTACTAATGACTAAAAATGAGGTAACTAACTGAAAATGTCGAAGTAAGAAGGTATGTTCATGGAGGGAATGGTGTATATCTAGGAGGTCTTTTGACCTATTTTAATAACAACTTGTTTTATTTCTCCAGAGATGTTTATCCATGAACAGCCAGAGATATTAGATATAGCTCAAAGTCTTTGTTGAACTAAGGGAAAATCAAGGATTATTCTATTATCTAAAACGTTTGATCAAGGGACCCCAAGACATTCTCTTTCATTTTGTTGCAATGTTTGCAAGATGGTGAACACAGTTGCAAATCTTTTTCCTCACACAATCCCTTCAAAGTCAGGAGGTGAGGAAAGGGACCTGTGACTTTTTCCTCTGATTCCTTTCTACTTTTATTATTGAGAAAAAGTTCTGTCAGCCAACAGTCTCAGTAATTTGGGTCATAATGGCAGATAGATTGCTGATTTTTTCTAACTGTAATATGCCATACATGGGGAAAAAATGCTCAAAGAAATGACCTGCCACACCCACACTTTCAGTTATAGGACAAGTTCTTTGTTCAATTGGAGTACTAATTTCAAGTCACTGTCCCATAGTAAAGTATCATTGTATGAATGGATACTCACTCATCAGAACTCTAAGGGCACCTAGGGTACATTGACCCTAAATATTTCAACCATCTAACCATTTGAATAAGAGCCAATGATACTCAAAGAGGAAGTCCAAAGTGCATTGAAAGAAGTGGCAAAGAACAAGACACCAGGAATTGATGGAATGAAAATTGAAATCTTTCAAGAAAGTGAGGCAGCACAAGAGGCACTCACTCATCTCTGCCAAGAAATTTAGAAGACAGCTATCTGGCCGACTAATTGGAAGAGATCAATATTTATGCCCATTCCAAAGAGAGGTGACCCAACAGAATGCGGAAATCATCAGACAATCTCTTTGATATCTCAAGCGAGTAAAGTTTTGCTAAAGGTAATACAGAAACGGCTACAATCATGCATTGACAGAGAACTTCCAGAGGTTCAAGCTGGATTCAGAAGAGGCCGTGGAACGAGAGATACCATTGCTGATGTCCGATGGATCTTGGCTGAAAGCAGAGAATACCAGAAGGATGTTTACCTGTGCTTTATTGACTACGCAAAGGCTTTCAATTGTGTGGATCATGACAAGCTATGGACAACATTGAGAAGTATGAGTATTCCAGAACACTTAATTGTACTTCTGAGAAATCTGTACCTAGACCAAGAAGCAGTTGTTCGAACAGAACATGGGAACACTGAATGTTTTAAAATTGGGAAAGGTGTGAGACAGGGTTGTATTCTTTCACCATACTTATTCAACCTGTATGCTGAGCAAATAATCAGAGAAGCTGGGGTCTATGAAGAAAAACATGGCATCAGGATTGGAGGAAGACTCATTAACAACCTGCGATATGCAGATGATACAACCTTGCTTGCTTAAAGTGAAGAGGACTTGAAACATTTACTTATGAAGATCAAAGAGCACAGCCTTCGATATGGATTACGTCTCAATGTCAAGAAAACAAAAATCCTCACCACTGGACCAATAAACAACATTCTTATCAACGGATAAAAACTGAAGTTGTCAAGGACTTCATTCTTCTTGGATGAACTATCAACACTTGCGGTAGCAGCAGTCAAGAGATCAGACGACGTATTGCATTGGGCAAATCTGCTGCACAGGAACTTTATTTAAAGTATTGAAGAGCAGAGATGTCAGCTTGAGGATTAGGGTGTGCCTGACCCACCCTATGGATTGAGCTAAATATTTTTGGGCGTGGGGGAATTGAGTTAATTTGATAATCATTTTCATTCCAAGGATCAGTGATGGTTATGATGAAAAGAAAAAGTAATAGTAAAGAGAAAAATAATGAGTAGAAAACATGTTCTTTTTATAAATTTCTGGGAGGTGAACCCAAGTTGGTAAAATAAAGCTGATTTTAAAGACTGTAAGTGTAAAGCAGAGTACAACAATGTCAACTTATGGTATAAGGAATAAACAATTTAACTTATTGGGTTAAGGTCAAAGTTATTCAATGATTATTCAAATTGCTAAGAAATAATTCCTACATGTCCAAAAAACAACCAAAACTGTTAAAATACTAAAAGTTCAGAAGCAATTTTAAATTTTTTAGTATTTGTCATGTAATCTTGTTTTTTTTTGTGTGTGTGTGATTAGTTGCTTTTGAAGTCATCTGCTTCTGACTGAGTTTAAAATCTCCAGTGGACTGACAAGTCCAGATAGGTGCTGTAGCCATTTATGTCTGTGACTAATGATTCCAAGTGTTAATTCCTTCTAATTTTGTAACATAAGCATTAATTAAAAGACTTAGATAAGACTCTTCCAGTGGGATTGTAAAAAATCTTTCAGTTGGTTCCTTTTCCTATAAACTATCTTCTTAAGAAAAGAAGGACAGTCAGGCTTTTGCATTTCAAATGCTTCTTTATTTTGTGAAAAAATATTTTTAAGAGTATTATATTAGAGATCAACAATTATTTCGGTAATTCAGGTTGTACTAGATTAAGGTTGGTAGAGGAAATGTAAGGAAGGCCCACAGGCCTCTTAGTAAT